GCACAAAAATATTTAAGTGTTTTAAAGACGGAAGAATGACGTGGTTTTGCATGCGAGGCTCTCAAATTTGTTTAATAAAATGGTGCGTCAAATGACGAATTTAACGAAATTTGGTAATTTGCATATTTCTTTGAAATAAAAGGATATTTTGCCAAAAAAAAACTATCCAATAGTTTTTGTCATGCCCCAGCCTATCTACCATAAAAATATGAGGGAAATCGAATTTTCGACCCTTGCCGAGTTATTTTCCGTATTTATGGACAGGGACTCTTAAGTGGCTCCTCGTTTACCTGTTGGAACAAAAGGCACCGAAAACCTGAATAATTCAGTGATCCGAATTGCCTTAGAGATTTCAGTGTTTGCGGCATAATTTGAATTTTTCTACTTTCTCTACGATGAGAATGAAGTGTCTAATGTTATTGAATATGATTGCACTGGAACTGAAGTATTTAGATTTCACAGTTCTTGTATAAACAATAAGCAACAAGGGCAGAAAAAACTAACGTTTTCAAATTGTTACGTGTATCCGCACTCATTCGAGAAAAGTGGAGCGCGAATTTTCGCGCGTGAAGTGTATGTATGACACGCTTGTGTTAGCCAGGCACAGTTTCTCCCCCTGTGAGATCCATTCTCCTGATCGATCACGTTCTAGCTCTTGCACGTTTGTCTTTAACCGCTAGAAAATCTTTACCGGCAGATTACGGTACGTCACGGTATGCCTCAGTAGAACTAGGCATCAGGTCTAAATCCGCTCTCTAAGGGAGTTACCAATGAGGTTGAAATATCTTCTTTTTCTCTGTTCATCATATGGAAATAATCCGTTGCATTCGCGGAGACATTCCACCGAGCTTGTATTTTAACACACAAACTTTATTCACTACCGTATTGAGTGGAACTGTATGACCGGCGACGTGTTGACAAGGCCTAGACTGGACACGAGTGGTAAATTATGCCTTCTAGTTGTCCCGGATGAAACTTCATGATGTTATTGGCGGAAGCTGGACGTACCGCTTTGGTGAGGCACGCGTCTTTACAGGTGAAAGGACACCGTTCGTGGACTGCTTAGCAAGTCTCGGAAGTAGTTCCTTAACAATTTTCCAACCTCGACTCTGACGTCGCTTGCTTAGTTGCGGTGATTTGAGTTTGTCTTTATTTAGTCCATGAGTTCTAGGCGCCATGTCTGATCCTTCAAGCCAGAATGTGATCCAAGTACCTTTACCCTGGAAAATTTGTGGTGGTTTTTAAAATAACCGAAAGCGTAACGAAGATGTTGTAAGGTCAATTCATAACTGCTGTCGGTCATAATGGAGACAGCCGTCAATCATAATCACGACAGCAATCAATTTCAATTTATTGGTTGTGTCAACGTACCAGGGCTTTTACCTTTCTGATAGGGAGGTGGGAAAGGCGAATGTTGTACATGTGTATGTAATGAACGTGACTGTGTAACGTAAGGGCAGTTTTTGATTGCTATGGTAATCATAATTGATAGCAAATGAAAAGCGAGTGCTCGTCGTCAGGTAAAACTTAAAAAAAAACAACGGTCTATTAAATTCACCCTGAAGGCAGACTGTGGCGTTTTAAACTCAGCATGCTTCCTGACTCAAGCAATTAAAAGCGTTTAAAATGTTATGATACTATTGTCTTGAGGTGGTAATTTGCTCAAAATTGAGTTAAGCTTTTTAGCAGAAAGAAAATTCCACCTTGAGGAAGACTTCTCCTCTTGTCTGAATGTGGTAGCCTCCAAGACGCTCCAGGAGTTTCTTGGTCTCTGGGCTTATGTGAATCTTAAGTGCTGAAAACAATGTAACTTCACGTTAGAAGGCTTTACAAAACTAAACTTAATTGACGTTCAAAACTAATCGCCAAGGTAATACAATAAACCGCTCAGGACCAGCTAGTAACAAGAGCGGCCGGAAAACATGAACTCTCTTTGGTGCCAAGGACGGGAAAACATGAAACCGGTGCTGAGCGTGGGAAAACATGAAACTGGTGCTGAGCGCGGGAAAACATGTAACTATTGACGAGCAGCGCAGGAAAACATGAAATTGGTAATGAGCGCGGGAAAATCTGAAACTGGTGCCGAGCGCGGGAAAACATGAAACTGGTGCTGAGCTTGGGAAAGCATAAAACTGGTGTTGAGCGGGAAAACATGAAACCGGTGCTGAGCGCGGAAAAACATGAAACTATTGACGGGCGCGGGGGGAAAATGAAACTGGTGCAGAGCGTGGGAAAACATGAAACTGGTGCTGAGCGTGGGAAAGCACAAAACTGGTCCTGAGCGCGGGAAAAAATGAAACTGGTGCTGAGTGCGGGAAAACATGAAAGTGTTGACGAGCGCGGGGAAAAATGAAACTGGTGCAGAGCGTGGGAAAGCATAAAACTGGTGCTGAGCGCGGGAAAGCATAAAACTGGTGCTGAGCGTGGGAAAGCATAACACTGGTGCTGAGCGCGGGAAAACATTAAACTGGTGCTGAGCGCGGGAAAACATGAAACTGTTGACGAGCGCGGGAAAACACGAAACTGTTGACGAGCGCGGGGAAAAATGAAACTGGTGCCGAGCGCGGGGAAAAATGAAACTGGTGCTGAGCGCAGGAAAACACGAATAGGGTGTTATCAGCAGTGATAAGCTGACAACAAAAGGAAATGCGCTCTCTGGAGTGGCAACACTTACCTTCTCCGTTAGATTCCATTCTTGAAGCGGTATTGACCGTGTCACCAAACAAACAGTATCGAGGCATCGTGTTACCAACCACCCCAGCAACGACAGGACCTGTAAAGACGGGAATAGAAAACAAGTACAAACATTACCGAATGCTTTAAATACAGCGAATGTAGAAGTAATCAAGTGAATATATGAATTTATTATACAAACACGAATGAAACACCAGCTTAGCTTTCGCGCGTAAACATGATATCTTCACACATGAAAATAACATGTCGAGGAAAAGGTTGTTGTTATTCATCGTCGTAGATGCAATGATACCGTGCAATCAGTCGACCTTTTCGCCTGAAGAAGACCAGCAGTAAGCAGTCGAAACGTCGCGATCTACATCTCAAGTGACTACATCGTGAGACAAACGATAATACACTTTATTATTGAAAATAACATGTTATCTTCACGTGTGAAAAGAGCACCCCTGCTATGGCTACATAATAAATCGCGCCATTCGCAGCGAAAGTTAAATGGTTTGTTATTTCATTGGTGCTGATATAATAAATAGAACATTACATGGCCACTTAGGGATACGAAATTTCTCTTCTCATGTTGAAAAATATTTCACTCGTTCGCTGCGCTCGAGAAATTTCGTATCCCGCGCGGCCATGTAACATCCTGTATATATCCCATGCTTACTTGTATCTTCATCATCTACGGGTATATCACAAAATGACCAGCTACCAGTTGACTTGATAGTTTAGTTGGTAGAGGACTGCACCGGTATCGACGAGGTGATGGACTCGAATCCCGTTCAAGCCTGAATTTTTTTTTTTTTTTCAGGCTTTAATTTTACAGCTGCTTAAGTTGCGTGTATAAGTGCGATGATCAACCAGGTGTTTATGTATGAATATTGTAAATGAATTCTAAAGCTGAATAAGTGTCTCTTCAGCGACTCATTAATGTTTACATCTAAGTAAAAACAGAACCTGGCAAAAAAAAAAAAAAACGAAATTTATGGCAATCGTGGAAAAGAGTTAATCTTCCGATCTTGAAAACTAGTTTCACTAGAGTTCAGATAATACCATCCTTCAGTTAGAACATGGCGCTAAGCTTTCACCGCAGTAATTGACCGATTTCTACTTACCGCTATGCATTCCGATCCTAAGCTTTAGCTGTTCTGTTGGTCTATGACGTATTTTGAAGTTATATATCTCTGTGCGCATGTGTAGCGCCATGCTGGCTATCTCCCCAGCGTGTTGATGACCGTTTCTGATTGGCAGCCCTGACACAACCATGTAAGCGTCACCAATTGTCTCCACCTAGCAGGAAATGAATGGGAAGTTAGTTTAAAGAAAGCCCGCCGAACAAATTTATGTCAACTCCTTGATTCCAGACCCCTTGATTCCATACAAAACAACGGCAAATTATATTTTGAACGGAAATATAATTTTGGAAAAGATTTCTGTCAGTCAGTGACCATATTACATTCCACATACTGCTGGAATCCCTATTCTTATCCTTATTGAAAGTTTTCACCTAGTATAATCAAGCGTAACATATACCACGAATTCTTTTCAAAATCCTAATTTTGCACCTACCTTGTATACGTCATAGTTACCAATGATGTCATCAAACAAAGTGTACAAATCATTTAAAAGTTCAACAACCTGAAGATGAGACAGAGATAAGACATTAGATACCCGAAGAAGAGGTCTCCAAACTCTTAACGTCAGCTACCTGTACTCGTAGACATATTATATTTGTAGTGTTTTTGTTCCTTTTTTTTGCGGGTAGCGTTTAATTGTAATTGAAGCGTGTGTTTTAAGAATAATGTTTTTTGCTCTATTTATTTTCTATTAATCAATGTGATGGATTGTAATTGTAAGCAATGTAAATAAGGTATGTGTAGTTGCAGGTTATTTTAAAAGAGCAACTGTAACGTTAAGTATTGTTAGTATGCAAAGGAAAATGACCTGAACATCTGCAAACTCTCTGGATTCTCTCATCATGAAAGACATATGTTCTTCCTCGGCAAATAAAATTCGGGGAGCAGGGATGACGCAGTGGTGAGAGCGCTCGCCTTCCACAATGTGACTCGGGTTCGATTCTGGTCCGGCGCCATATGTGGGTTGCGTTTTTTTGTTGTTGGTTATCGCCTTGCTCCGAGGGTTTTTCTCCGGGTACGTTTTCCGGTTTTCCTTCCTCCACAAAAAACCTAACATCTCCAAATTCCAATTCGATCAGGGCAGAGAACCCGCATAAAAACCAGCTAAGGTCGATGTGGCTTCCTCTCTAAATATTGCAATTTATTTATTTATTCGTTATTTACACTAAATCTAATGCAATAGTTTAAAAATTGTGTTGAACGAGTTTAGAGCCTATTGCGATAAAAGTGGCAACACATCCTACCTGGAAAGGCGTGCTTTCCGAAGACAAAGAGGTAAACCCGACGATATCACTAAAGAAAATCGATACCTCGTCGAAGTTTTCAGGCACAACGCTTTTTCCTTGAACCAGATCACGTGCAACGGATCTGAAAATAAACAGGAAAGATAAGGTATGCTCAAGAGCTAAGAAACCCACACAGTCGAGGCATAACCTTGTTTCCGTCACATGAAGTGAGTGTGCTATTTCCTTCACCCTCATCCTGAAGGGTTGCTCGAAGAAGACAGTGCGTCGGGTTGCCCTAAGCATTTGGCAGTACATTTACATTTACATTTATACATGGCAAAGGTTGCCCATCCCACCACGGAATGCTAGTGCAGGTGCATGAGATCAAGTTAATATAATGCAAAGTAATACTGTGCTGTGCATGGTGCTCTTACAAAAAAGAATGAAAAAAATAAATAAATAAATAAAATTGTTTAATGTTAAAATGTGCCCGTAGGACCAGACTGAAAGGGGTCTCTGGTTTGAATTGGCGTATGTTGGGTGGCAAGCTGTTGTATTCCGCCATTTTTCTTAGGAAGAAGCTGTTCTTGTAGATCTCTCCTCGTTTCCCCTGGTTGATGTAGGTTGCCTGTGATCTTGTGTGGTACATTTGAATGCACTTGGATGGAAAGAGGTTCCTTGAGGATAAAGTACCGTTCCTTGCTTAACATACATAACGGTTTATTTAAACTAGAATCCACGGTACACAGTGCAGGTACATTATCGTTTATGTATTAAACTTACGGAGGAAGCATTCTGTGTAGCAAATTGTCAGTTTTTCGTTTTTCCTCTGCCAATTGTGATGTTCTTTCCTCCACTAAGCTTTCAAGGTTGTTCGCGTACTTTTCCAACATATTCACCATGTTGTCCATTATGTTCGTTTGCCTGCAAACAGACACCATAGCAACATCGATTAGAAAGTGTCGTTCTACTTTATTGCAGTATAGCGACGTAATGGAAAACTTAGTGAGTGCAACAGGAAGCTCAACTCTTTAATTCCCCAAAGATGAACTGTGGTACCGACAGTCCGATGACAAGTTACATACAACATTTACAGGCCCTGAATGTTGTATTTTTAAACGTCTCTCAATTTTGTGCTGCAAGGCAAGTTACAAGGGAGGGTTTCACGCGTAATTTCCTTTGGAAGTTGCGTGGCGGTGGTTTTGTAATGTAACTTGGGCCCCTATAGAACAATTGTCTTCTGTAAGAGAACCTTTCCATTTATTTTTGGTGCTCAACAAGTGGGATTGCGAGCTGATGATTAAATTGAGACTTAGGCTGACTTCTAGAGCATTAGCTGTAGCTATAAAGCGTTACCTTCCAACAGACATCTTTCGGATTTGTCGCTTTAAATCCTCAAACTCAGGTCTAGCTTCGGGCTGCTCATTCCAACATTTTTCCGTTATTTGTACCAAGCCAGGGACATCGTACTGTTTCGCGATGTTGCTAAGCTTTGGACGAAAAGGAGGGTACTCCTGCATCATCACTCGCTGGACAATTTCTGGGATTGCGAAAAAATTAACGAAGAGAACAGAAACAATTAACGTGAAGCTAGTACATTTGAAGAGGAAAGTGTAAAAGTCACTCGGAACACTTCCTGGGGGAACCCTTGAAGCAATCAAATAATATTTCACTGACATAATATTTCCCTTTTGCCTGTTCACAGTGTCCGTTCGCAAGCAAAGTATCCGCCCATTCATCCATATTACTTTTTGAAACAGCATCGGTTTAAAGCCCTAGTCAAACGGACTTGCAAGTAAACGCAAGTTGAAAACTTGGGTCTACTTGTACTCCGTTTGGCCAGGCCTTGCAGGCACGTGCGTTGACTTGGGATGACTTAGGCTCACTTTGGTCGATATCAAATTTGCACGCAAGTCAACGCAAGTTTTTAATCGTTTGGCCACCCAACCCTAGCCTGCGTCACAGACGGAAATTTACCCGTAGTAACCCGCGGTAGGTTGCGTCTGCGACGCAGGCTACCCGACCCAAGTCAATGCAAGTTGAGAGACGTCCATTAACCTATTATTAACCAATGAAATGCAGGATATTTCTGCCTTGAAATGGGTTTTATTGCGACTTGCGTGTACTTGCGAGGAAATTTGCAAGCCCGTTTGGCCACCCAACGCAAGTCTCTACGCAAGTTAAATTTGCGCCTACTTGCGACCGCTTGCGAGTCCGTTTGGCCAAGCCGGACTAAACACTTCACACACGACACTGTTAGGTTTTGAAAAAAGCAGCTCGCCTGTACCTTTTGGTTCGGTATGGTAGTAGGACATATCGAAAGGACCCGAGCGAGTCAGCATCTCCTGGCATATAATGGCAAAGCTGTAAACATCGCCTTTCTGTGTCCCGTGACCCTGCTGTTCTTTCGCCAAGCGCAATATTTCGGGTGCTGTCCATACCATGCCTGAAGAAACAAAGATAATTTTGTTATCAGAAAGCTGTTGACCGGCTGGTAATGGAGAAGGCAACAAAGTAGGCATCGAAAGAAGTTAAATCATGTCTGTTTCTACACCAATTTCGTCATCAGAAAGGTGTTGACCCGCTGATAAGGGAGACGGCATCAAAGCAGGCATCAAAAGAAGTTAAATCATGTCGATTTCAGGGATAAGCAGCGCAGGTAGAGATGTGAACAATTTTTCCACCAGCATTTGACAGGGTTAAAAGTGGGCTGAGCAGAATAAGTACCAGAACTCGGGTGCAAGCTGCATATGCATGCTAGTGAACTAACAAATCGTGAGAACAAACCGGGTCTAGTTCTCTTTGTTGGCTCTCAAACCGCGCATTGTAACCACGCTTAAAAATCGTGCCTTTCGTTATATCTTTTCCAAAGCTAGTTAATAAAGACCTCTGTGAATAATTGGTTTACAAGATTCTTATATTCACTTGCAAGAACCATGTTCGAATATTGCATCAAATATTACACGAAGCGTTCTTCCTTGCGCGGAAACAAGTTGGTTGTTAACAGTTTATTGGCTAGCTTGTTGTTGATCAGAAGCTTTGATGATGGGAAACAGGATGCAATATCAAGTCTTTTCAATGAGACTCAGTTTTCTTTCAAGAAGTCTAGCTAGTTACTAACTGCTGACAGAGACTCACGATAAAATCTGGCGTAATCCCCTTCTTCTCTCTCAGCCTGATTTGCTTTGAACTTAGTGAGCCCGTAATCTGTAATCTTCAGCACCCAGCGGCCATCCACCACACAGTTTGACGATTTCAGATTCCCGTGCGATTTTATTTCTGTACTGTGAAGATAAGCCATTCCCTAAAAAAAGAAAAGGTAGTCAAGGCATATAGTCTGTTTCTTCATCAGTTTGAAACGGGTTTCAAACATGTGCAAAAGATCGCTGACCAGCAATGATTACCTTAACAATGTCCGTTACTAGTGACGTCACAAACATGGTGTCCAGTTTAACATCCTCGTTTTCAAGAATATCCTAAGATAGAAATTGCTCAATGCATTACAAAGTTTCTGACCGTTGCTTAACGGATAATTTTATGAACTTACATGCAAGTGCTGGATTATACACCATTAAGTTGCAGTTGCAACACGACACATTTGCTGGGGTCTAGGGCTTAAAACGAACTCTACTTTCGTAGCTAGTGTACATGTAAATAACGGCACAATGTCGACGATTTTAAGATCTTTTCTCCAGGCAAGAGACGATGAAGCGTAAAGGACCCTACCCAGCCTCCACCACTTTCGATGCCATCGAAATTATTGATATTGCATGGTGAAGCGAAATCTTATTGCTTTACTGTAAATTCTGTTACCGAAAGTTTCGACATGCTCCGAATAAAATATAACAGCCAAACTCTTGTATGTAAACGTAACCAAAGGTATGGCTGACTTAAGAGAGTTAATTCCCCATATACCCTTTACCCTTCCTCCGCTCCTACTCCTGGCTTTGTCATGCTAATATGTCCCAACCCACCCAGGACAAAAGAGCTGTTCACACCTGCAACATCATGGACCGGCGATTTGTCGTACGCGTGCGCACGTTCTCTGGACGAGTAAGACAAATGTGTGATGGGGCCATTTTTCAAAGGTGTCCAATGAATTACCTGTAAGCTGCCTTTTGGACAGTACTGGAACAAAATGCAGATGTTGGGATTGTCCACGCATGCCCCCATAAACTGCGCCAAGTTGTCATGACGGACATCGCGCATCTAGAGGTAGATGAAATCCTTGAGTTAAATTGATTAAACTGACTAACCATTCGTAATCCGTCTTCAACTTTTCAGTCGCACCCAGCCTTGTTTATTTGTTATAAACTTTACGTGAAAGTATAGCCACTCGCAATTGTTATAAGTACGCTTTCTTTGCGTATCGTTAATAACAGAAATACCCTCAACACTTACGTCATGTCGCGTCATGCCATGTTACGTTACGTTACGTTACTTAACGCTCACCTGTTTAAGCTCCATTCTAATCTCCCTTGTGAGTTCAATGTTTCTCTTGTCGACCCTCTTTATAGCAACTGTATTGGACTGAGAAAACCAGGTAATAGACTGTTAGCCAATTAAGAACCTTTTACCGCTAGTCATGTGTCTTTGCTTCCAGTTTTGTTTGGCTCATATCATCTGCCCGTTTCAAATATCCCTCTTTGGCTGGAGCGCGGTGTACCTGGAGTTGCGGTACTAGCTGTTACACTCGGAAGACTGTTTCTTATTTCGCTCCTTAACCATCAAGTCCTGCGCTTCATGTTTCCAGCCTTTTTGTGAGGAAATGCAATGGCGTCAGGACGTAATTGAGCGGCATTGGCTCGGCGCGTGACTGTTGTTGTTGTTTGTTTGTTTGTTTTTTGCTTGATAGTCTACAAGATAGTGAATATAAGAAAGCTGTGTATGACTTACCCTCCAATAACCAACCAATGTGAAGAGTTGGCGTTGATTCAGGTTATCATAGCTCTCAGCGGAAATCAAGCTAACCTACAAGAATATAATACACTTTCCCGTAAATAATAGGAGCTCAATGTTAAGGTGTACGGATCCAGCACAGTAAAAGCGAACTATATTTCTCTTCCTGGACCTGGACTAACTAAGTCGAAAAGTATTTTGTTAAAATTAATAAAACAACGTCACGCATCGTGCATCCTGGGCCGGCTGATCGATCAGGATCGACTCTACAAAAACTGCTTAATCATAACAAATTAGCAGTAAATGCGTTGTACCTGGCTTCGTAGCGATCCTGGCTGTCTTCCTTTGGTCCGTAGGGATATTTCGCTGTAATTCACTCGCCATAAATTACTCGCTAATTCCTTTTCAAGCTTCTGCTTCCTTTAAAGGAAAAATAGGTATTTCTGACTAGAGCTCAAAAAGTGTGGCGGAAATTCGGAGATTACAACAATACATGTAACAATCTTGAGACTATATTTCATAAAGACAAATAGTTGCCGAGACGCAACCATATTGAATTTCAGTAACTTCTATGATTCAGTTGACAGCAAACTTTCAAACTGGAAGTTTGTAATCATCCGGCTTAAGATCCAGTCTCTTTATCCGGCTTTAGAAAGTACGACTTTAAAAGCTAGTGTAGGAGGAAGTCAATTGCGAGTAAGTTTCATAACTTGTCAGTATGGATTTCTGTAAATTTCGTAAATGTTTTTCCATCGGTTCATTTTAATTTTGTCTAATATCAAACTGGAATTATGATTATCCCGAAGAAAGCTTCAAGCATGGAATGAAAGCTTTGGCTCTGTTTAGATGGTAACTCACTGTGTTCCTGCCCCACTGCTCCCCCCTCTGTCCCCTCCCCCTCCTATCTCGATGAAGTAGTATTACATTCAGCTATCTTATGTAAATCACGCCTCTTGACTGTCGTAACCGTGGCCGAAAAAACTTACCTATAAAAGATGGCTCCAACAAACAGAATGACGACAACAACACAGCCAAGACAGATAGAGACGATCTCTGCCACCGCTTCATGAAAGAAAATTAACATACATGTATGTTAACCAGTAGTATCCAACGCATTGTTAAATTATATAGTTTCTGAGTTCTTTTTCTCTGCCTGCCATAATAATTATCGCCAAAATACACTAGTACTTTACCAACAAATTCAAATGCGCTCGCCGTTAGTTTTAAAATTTCACTTGGTTCTCTTTTGGCTTCGGAAAATGACTTGCCTTGCTCTTTTTTGCTTGTAGTTTTGTTTTCCTTTTTCCCGCTGACCTCTGTTAACTCGATGTAAATTGTCACGGCAAAAATTATATTTTCAGCACGCGGCAGAATTCTCGCGCGCTAATTGGTCAAGAACTAGACAGTCGAGGAATTATAGTCCTCAATAAGAACAACCGTTATGTAACGCAGGTAACAAAATACTGCGAGGAATTGTCGTGACTTGAACACCGGAAAATTGGACACCAGAAAATTGCCTAATTGGCGCAGAGAAAAGTGATTTTTCGCTCTCTTAAGCGCAGTTTTCCATTGTCTTCAATATAGAGATACAGTCATAAAATGCCCGAAACGTTTATATGAACCACTTCCTTGGATTTTGGTGTCATTTAATGACGTCATTTCAATCAACCAAAGGATTTAACTTGACTAGACTTGATTTCTTGAAGCGAGCGACAAAATGTCGGCAATGTTTCCTTTGAATGGCAGCTTCCAAGAGCCGGTTAAACTTACTTAACTTTGGAGTCGCCTCCTCAACGCACTTCTCGTTTTCAAACCCGCACTCGGGGGCATCAGCCGGCGGTGCTCCTTTTATCCACAAGATGGTGGCATTAGGATACAGCTGGAATTTTATCTGAGTCATGTTAATTTTCGCCTCTATACTAAACATCCCCTTGTTGTCAAAGTGGAGATCACCTACACAACAAAATAATAACAAAAGAAACCATAGAACCAAAGAACAGTCAGCGAAATTTGCTTTTTACTTGATAGCAATAAACTTCTGAGGTTTCATTTGACGTGAACCGCCTACTTGTAACAGAAATTTCATGCATCAAATGGCCCTTTCCCTCTATGAGATTTTCCTGCAGGATGTTATGGTAGTTGTATTCATCAAGTCCAGCCCACGATGGCGGACAGTGCGGACGAAAATTTACCTTCTGAAAACTCCTCGTTTCGGTACTCGCACTCGAATTATATCTACACCAACAACTGAAATGCACAGTCAGCATGTACGGTTGCTACATTGTTCATGTAGTTTTTCCTCCCACCTTCAAATTGTGCCGAGCATACTCGGTGGCTCGTTAGACTAAAGCTTTCGCTCTCGATAAGTTCTATGCACTTCTCTCTCAATGCAGGCTCTTTCGGGAAAATATAATTAACCTGAGCCTTTCTCCTTGAATTATTGAAGCATTCGGGGAGGCAACATGTAATGCCACCTCTTCGTTCTTTTGAAGACCACTTTTCATTCCCTCTCAAGTCGTCGGCTATCTTGGACTTGGTGAACCTGGGTTGGACTTGCAGGCGTGTGTCAGAGAGGGAAAGGACCATTCTACTGGCTTGAGAACAGTGGTAAATACAATGGTATATAAATTTGTAAGAAGCGTACATAGCAAAACAGACTGGCGCAGGGGTTTGTGAATCTTTCACCTTGCTTTCTCACACCGGACTAAGTTCTTTCTTAAGGGCTTAAAAAGGGGAAGAGGTCGTGAAAAGAGACGTCAAAGGATATGCTTTCATCATTCACTATCTTGGATCTCTTCTGATTGTAACAATTAGAAACGTTCCTTTAAAAGCGCGAGTTTTATGTTTCAAACATAGCATTGGATAGAAACATGCGATCGATCAAGTTCGATTACAATAGGCCTTGTTGTACGATTTTAAAATGACCGTACAAGCCAATTTGAAATCATGGCGGCCACAAATTCTAAATACACTAGAGATTTTTTGGAATTTTCGATTACCATGCGGGAGGGAAAGTCAAACCATCATCAAGACCGAAGAAGAACCAGGACAAAGGAAAACAAATCCGTTTTTCGGGGGATAGTTACGCCTTTAATAAAAGGCCTCGAAATCTTACCAGTGTCGTCATCGAAGGCCATCACAGTAAGATTGTGTTGAACATCTCCGTTTTTATCAAGCAAAATATCAAAGCCGCGAATACCTGAAAAGAAAGAAGATCAAAGAAGTGTCACTATATCGTAAAATCAGTTTTTGGCTAAATAATTTTTCCTCAGATTCATCTCTTACTGGAATACACATGCCCATAAATATTTTTCATCACTGCTCTGCCATCTGTAGCGCTTTTTCCCTCAGCAAGTGTCTTGTTGACTCCAATAGCATACAGATATGTTGCATCATACAGGAAGGCCGTCTCTATTGGGGCCTAAGTGAGGGGCAGAGAAAAGTATATCAGAGACAAGCAAATTAAAGAAGCCTACACGAGAGCTCGAGGGCGATTTCCATTCAACCAAAACTCTGGTTTGAATTTCCGGAAATTTCCAGTGATGGATGGAACAGCGTTTTCAGGAATTTCCAGAAAAGAGCACAACCTTTCGAGGTAACGTATACCCAAATTTTCGGAATTTCTTTACCTGGAACTTCTGTTCCATTTGATTTTCCGCTTTCCGGTTCGCTTTTCGGAAATTCAACCATTTCCGGAATGTCTGGAAACTTTCCCCAGAAATTTCCCTACTTTTTGTTCCCGTTTCTAAATTTTCGGAAAAGCGCCCCGAGAGTCAATCGGCGTAAGTCCCTTGACTTACGCAAACCAGTCTCTGAATATTTGATTTTTTTATTTTTAATTTCTTGGCGACAGTTCTGGTGCGATTGCGAACGACTTGCCTGCCTGGTAGAAGTCTTTTAGGAGAAAAATCTCCCTTTCCTCAAAGCCTTGATATGTCTTCCTTTCAAATTCACTGGACCGGTTGTCAACATTAAAACTAATAAGTGAATAAATACTAACACTTACCGGTCTGATAAATTTAGGAACTGAGACGTTATTAAATATATTGAATCCAACGTAGGCATCACTGCAGAAAGGAGGCTGCGACATCCTGTGCTTCATTTCAGTAGTAAAGTTGTTATATTTTCCAATCTGCTGAATGTTGGAGACCATGACCAGCATTGATTTATAGGCCTTGTTAAATTCCTTCTTCTCTTCATCGTTTAGAGTCTTTGTTGCCTGATACTGCCCACGAAACCATTTCTCTGGACTTCCTACATATCTCTCAACCAGGACTGGATCCAGTTCGAAAGCGATGAACGCGTAATCTCCATTGTTCATTCCTAGTTTAGATGCGTAGTACATTCCCTCACGCACCAGGCGCCGTTCCATGGCGAATATGATGACTGAAGAACACAAAAACACACTTTGATTTGAAATGGTTTGCCGAGAACCTTGGGCAAATCTCCCGCCCTTCCCCGAGAGATATCCACCCCCCACTTCCCGCAGGTTCCCCTTATCCAAACACTGGCATGATTGGAAAGGGGGTTAATATCCAATTTAAATTCATTTGCAGCGGAAGTATGTATTTACCGACAACTCATTTTGGCCAACTGTCTGCAGCCGTCACGAGAAGGGTTGTCCTGAGAAGCGTTAAAGAGTCACGGGCGCCCCAATACCGAAAGATGTCCTGTGTAGTTCTGGTTTACTGTTGTGATTGATCACGGTGTGTTAGCGCGAAGGAAGGAGAAATCACAGACGCAAGTATTAATTATTTTTTTCCCCTTTTACCAGGCTGAAACACAAGGAAATTTGATCAGCCGTTGGGAATCCAACTCTACCCATAATTTCTTTCGGCATTGTCGCGTACTCTTTTACGCTTTTGTAGTACAAAGTTTCTCTCAACAACTGCTTTAGAACTATTCTTGACGCTTATTGAACAATTAAAACAAAATGAGGAGATCATAGCTCATCATACTTCATGTCCAAACCTCGCTCAAGATGGAAAAAGTAAGTTTCGATTTAAATTAATCACACATGGGGGAACAACTAGTTTTCATTATTTTAATGAACGTGTTGTTCGTAATGGTAAATGCCGAGGGTAAATTAAGTCCAGCACCATCCTACAGTTTTGAATATAACATAAACAGGACGAGTCCGAGGATTGTTAACATCGATGAAAACCACGTTTTGGTTTATTACAATGTAGAAAATTTTTGCAACATTTTGGCTCTATTTCAGAGTCATAGTCTTGTTGTTAGATCAAAACAAGTCGACAGCTTATATATCAAGGCTGATTAGGCTTATACACAAGCAATGACATAATATGATATAAGAAAAAAACTCACTTCTAGCTTTGTCCTTCATTTGCCTCAAGACTTCTTCATAATGTTCGCTGTACTCTTGTTTCTTGTGGTACAATAAAACATACTGAACCTTCCCATGCATTGACACGGTTTTTCCTTGAGATGTCAAGAACGAATCCAGAAAGTCTCCTCTTCGTTCCCAGCCCTCCTCGTTTTCGCTGATAATTCCCACCAGGTTCCAGTCGAAATGGTCCAGTATCGCCAACACCGATGGAGCAATACTGTTATCGTCAAAGATTGTCCTTGCGAAGGTTGGATAAAGCTCTTTGTTGGAAACCTCGTCCGATGTACACAGCTTGGTGAGGGAAGGCAAAAAACACAAATTATTGATGTTGTGGAAGCTACGCAGTGGCATAGTTACAAGTATGCAGGCCGGCAGAACTCTTGATCAGGCAGTCCAAATTTGATTTTCTATTGGTCTGTTGTATCACAGCGTTAGCAATGCGGCGAAAGCGGGGATGTCTGTAGGGAGTGTATTCAGCTCTGCTTGTTTCAAGACACGCGACACACACTTTTCAAAATTGATTGTTTTTGAAGTTGATTTTAAGATGGCTGTTGTATGACCTCTTTTAATTTCCGTGCAAAAAACAAATAAACACAATAACGAAGAAAGCGCGCAGATGGCATTTCCTACACCTTCACGTATGGAATAGGTGGTATTTAAAGAGACTAATTAGCATAGTTTAGACTGAAAAACAAGAAAAAGCCATCAAAATCTTCTCTGGTTCTTCCTTCATGATTAATATGAAGTCGGAATATAAGATAATCAATTTTCTAGAAAGCAATGTCAACTGACTGTTTAGTCTGTGAATCACAGCATGGTCTATGAACAGCTGCTCCACTTATACTCGCTTTTCTTGGTTAGATATTTTGCAAACAAATCATCCTTATAAAAAAAAAAACAAGCAGAAAGGTCGTATAAGTCGATTCCTCCAGCTTGGTCAGACGTTAAAACGGCCGACAATTTACATGTTAATTAATTTAGCTGTAAAGGAAAAATCCCTCAATCCCCCGCAGGCATCATTTGATATGTTTTTCTGAATGGACACTTTTGTATACTTGATAAAATTGTAATAGACTTATCGTTCAGAGATTGGCGCTCCCAGCTGCCAGTACACCCAAGGTGGTTAGAAAAGTTCTGTTAAAAATATAAATATGAACTTGACAAAACGTTCCAGTTTACTGATTTTTACTGAAACTCGTCAAACTACCTGATTTTTTTATCTAACTGAAAAAAAAAAATACTAAATACAAATACAGATGATGATCAGTGATATTAACATTTCACTAGCGCCGGTGTCATGATTGTCTAATTTTCAAACTCATTTCCTCCGTTTGGTAATAAAGGACAAAACACCGGAATCTAACTCAAAAAAATCTATACGCAAAAATTATCCTCAATATTAGTTTCCGACAATTTTTACCTTTTGGTGCGGACACCTTATATTCATTATAGAATTCTAAATCATTTACTGCATTTATGAGAAAGTTTTTTAACATACATCTCGAAGACTGTTAAAACGTTTTAGCTGGCCAAATGTGCCTTAACAAGCGACAAAACGGTGTGAATTTTAGTACCTCTATCGCTTCTCTTGGGGTATTTTTGGGGAGAACGCTGCTTAAGATTTTTTTTATTGCCAATCTTCTACGTAAAATAGAGAAATGCCGGCACAAGCCTTGATTTTGCTCCGGCATATTCTCAGTGCGTATTCTTGTCTTAAGACCTTTAAGCGGCGACAATTTAGCTTCAGCGAGTCTCAGGAATCCAAACCGAGACACGTAGCTGTTTTGTAACAGTTTGCGGTCGAGTTTCCATAACATATCTGGCATAAGAAAAGTAAATTAAATACTCGGTGATGTAATCCAAAACTGAGATCGGACAGGGTTTAAATGTTAGAGAAATTTTAGTTATTTTCACTATCTTCATCCTTTCGAGATGAATTTTTTCCAGAAAAATATCTATACTTACATGAGAGACCATAGGCAAATTCAAGGCCGCAGCCAGTCGAGCTTGTGTGTGACAATTGCAACCAAACCCAATAAAACCATCCACTTTCCTCTGCCATTGACTTATGAACGCTTGGATTGACTTCTCTTCTATGCACTCAGAATCGTCCCAAATGAAGCTGAGGCGAATTCCAGGCAGAAGATTTGGATCTTTATTGATGTTGTCCACCGCGATAGTTATGGCAGAAGCGTAATGAATGCCTTGGATACCTCGCCCTCCGCCAGCCGAGCGGCTGTACGGAAGGATCAGCCCGATGGTCAAATTTCCCTCTGGTAGTACAGAACAGGAGAACACGGTTAGAAATGTTGCAGCCAAAATCAGAAAACGAGCTTTGAACATTAATGAACCATCCATGTTTGCTGAGAAGCTCTAAGTGCTTTAAATTATGTTGACATTTGAGTTGTAACCACGGTGAAACTACAAACATAGTGAAGTGAGTTGTTTATCTGTGGTGTGCATGAGTCAGGTGAAATTAAATTTTCTTATGAAGTACACACAATAAAGGAAGCCCTCCGGGGTGACCATTTTTCGCTTGCTTTGAAGTCGGTTGTAATACAAGACACTTTTGAATTAGCCCTTGATAGGCGCACAAAAATAAGATCAGCAATTTCACATTTCGTGCTCAACAATCATAATTAACGAAATTGTGAGCATATGGCACATCATAAACAGGTAATATATATTTTAGGAAATGATGAAATGACATTGTATTTTGTAACATAAAAATTGACCATAACCACTTTAACAAGCATATTACAATAAATAGATTGTAAACGAATAATAATCTATATGTTACATGAAAAATTAAGCAATTTTCTTAAATTTTATTCAATTGGTTTCTAAGGCTTTCCTCCACTTGGCACTTTCTTGTATTGTTATTAAAATAGAACAAATGAGGTGCGTTAAGTAATATGCGCTGAGCAAATTGTCTTTTTCAGGAACAATAATTCGTCGGAATATCGTAATTACTGTACTAGTACGTGATTTAAAGATATTTTAAAATCAATAGTATTATTGTTCATTCTCTACTATAACCTAAAACGATATGATCCTATGAAAAGCTAGTAACATAAATTACGATTCACATCAGCCAATGTCAGCCAATGTCAGCCAATGTCAGCCAGTGTCAGCCAATGTCAGCCAATGTCAGTCGTCCTTCACGATTCCATTAAAATTAACTCCAACAACCTCGGGGGTGTATGTTTTTTTTTTTTCAAAAATACTTCAGTGCGCGACGTATTTTCGAGTCTCTTCTGGGTTTTTGGAAAATCTGGTAAAACACGGCATCTCGTGTTTGATATATTACTTCCCACTTTGCTGATTTTCTACCGTGACTGCGCTGTGCGACGTATTTTCAACTCTCTTATCGGTGTTTGGAAAATGAGGTGACGGACACTCTCTTTTGTTCGATGTATTATTCCCACTTTGGTGTTTTTCAACCTGACTAATAGTCTACTTTATGAATTCTCTGTCTACTGTCTTCTTACCGTTATAACAATGTTCGTCACAGGACCAACACTTCAGTACATCCGAGGAAGGTGCAGACGCGTCATTGGGCCAAATGATTGAGTCATCTAACACAAGTTTGTGATTTCCTGCACTGTTAACAACAAAGTTTCCAACTTGCTGAAACATTCCTGCAGTGAAAACATTACTGTAATCAGAAAATACTCATATGGAAATTAATAGTTTTTAAAACAGATTTCAGCCCGTTTAGTTGAAGTACTATTATCAGTAAACGAATGCGAGAACTCTTGTTCATTTTGCGCCAACAAAATCCGTAAAACAGAATTTAACAGTCAGCCCCCGGTTGTGTCAAATAGTAAAAAAACTGACAAAAGAATAAAAGTAGTGTTTAATAGCGCCGTCTAAAGGTCGGTGCCTATTTGACAATCTTGTGAAATAACTTTGGTAAACAATTTAGGAAAAGAAACTTGCAAGCTGATTAATTCTGCTTTGCGCTCCTAAAGGAACGTCCACTCCTTCCCTGACTCGTCACCAGTCATTTCGTTACTCACGTCTTAATGATAATTTTTCGCAAGAGAAACCTAGAGACGAGTCAGTTTCCTTCATGCAATGTGACAGATTTAAAGCCCTGTTTTCAAATCATAATCGGCTGAACATCTTACCGTTATTACTTTCTCTATAATCCATCAAAACCAAGTTGAACTCTGCGTCTCCGACAGCGTTAATATAACGATCGTAACCTAGTATACCTTGGAAGAAAGGAAAACAAGCAGTCAAATAATCTCGTTTACTTTTCTTCTAGGTAATGTTTGGCCACGTTTTCGTAGACGGAAGTATTGGGGAGAAGAAAGGAGAGTTTTGGGGAATTTTGCGCTTAGAAAACATGCATGCGTTTCATAATTTGTCCGATTCGTGAGGGAATTTATTTGCCATTGAAGTGATTTGCCTTTTAACTTTGTGGCTTCCTTTCTAAAATCAGTTGGTACTGTACTATTTCAACGCTGGGTGTGTCATATAATTATGTACACTAACTTCGCACGTTTTGAATTCAAATCATCTCTTTTTACCCTTGGAAGGTCAGGAACTTTAAAGCTTAGAGCCTGTTCCAGGTAGAGCCAGAAAACAAGTCATTCGGTATTTTAAATTTCTTGTGAAGAAATATTGAAAACCCTAGAAAGCAATGCGAAAAAGGGAGGTGCCCTCGCTATTAACCTTTTTCATTTTCCCCTTTTCTTTTCCCTCACCGGCATACGGACACCGGGAAACTGGTTATATATTTCCAACCAACCATTGTGTCCATTTTAGCTACGACCTACATGTAGTTTAAAAATTACAAAGTTGGCAGTGAGATACTACTCACTGTTAAAGAAGTGGCCCATCAGATTCTGCGTGATTTCCTCTCCATCGGAAACTTTGCCGCCCTTATTTAACGTCTTATTCAAAGCAGCAGCGTATTGAATCACAGCATCATACAAGTAGGCCGCCTCTATGGGGGGCTGGAAACGAGAGTAAAGTATATGTGAAACATTTAAAGATCTCACTAATAGGCTCAATTATTTCTAATGCAAAAAGTGTCCCTTTCCACATAACGTTACAACAATGTGTTATTCAAGAAAACATGGGTTTACAACAGATCACAAATTTGAGATCAAACTGAATATTGAAAACAAATGAACTTGCACATGATCTTTTTTGGACATAGCCCGGGATGCAGGGGACAATCCATTGTGAAAATGTGGGGTATTGTCGTCGAAAAACCCCCAAAGGAGACTAATCCGGTGATGGTTCGAGCTTTATTTGACCTTTAAAAAATACCAATTTAAAACTGACAAAAAGTGTTTATTTTTTTTTTTTTCATTGCTTCGGGTGTAACCCAAAAGGATATCTTGACGTTTAAAAATAGTACAGTGGCGTTTCGTCGCGAAAACCCTAAATGAGACCATAACACGGACTCTAAAAGGGCTGGGCTTAGCGTCCGCGATATGGACTAGGTAAAGATTATATGAATTCTCAGGGATTCCATGTGAATGAACTGTCCATAAATGAGGTGTTCATACTATAGAGGTGTTCGAGGGGAAAGGCTCGACTGTTTCATGATTGTAAGTCTGAGTTGCGCCAGTCACATGATCACAAGGCAACAAACAGCCATGCATGGTCATATTGTGCTGAACATACTCGGGAAATAACAGGAACTGCTGATAAAGGATGATGGCCAGCGATAGGTAGCTACTAATTGACTAACCATTGTCTTTATTCTCACTCCTATAACCATTATTTAGTAAGGTCTGTTAATGAGATATTATACCAAAAGTACATCCCTGTACTTAGCTTAATCCTGTCAAACACTCACCGTGTGTCCCGGATGCACGGTTGTGTAAAAAGGAGAAGTCGCACTCTTCTTTTTCACATTTTCAGTGAAATTCAAGTATTCCGTGCTTACACTGTTGTTGACGGAAATAAGCAGAGCCGATTGAAAGGCCAGAGCAGTCCGGTTTTCTGGATCTTCTCCCCACGTCAATGTGATATTTTTCTTGGTATTTCCCGCGAGGTCCAAATCCAAGTCGAACACGATGAATGCAAAGTGACCGTCGTTCAAACCAAGTTTTGCGGCGAAGTTCAAGGCCTGGAGCGCATAGGCGTAACGCATGGCTAGAATGATAACTGTGGAATATAAAGTTATTTTCGTCTTGACCATATTATGTTAAACGTTTTACAGAGAGGTAAGCTTTACGAGATCTTTAATAAAAAAAGACTGCCTTAGAAGTAGGTGGGGATGCTTTAATGTCATTAATAGCTCGGTACATGTGCAACTATAACCTTGGTCAAGAAAAGACCAAGGTAACAGAGTGGATCCTCCATATAGGCTTATTTCAAAGGTAATCCATCTTAAGTTATTTTAGACATGGTACTCAGTTCTTCCGTGGATGTTACTCGCGCGATGCGTGGATAGTCCAAGCGACCCTCAAGAAAACTGCATGAGATGAAATTGCGGGATGGTGAAGATTCATAACACAGATGTTTTCTATACTCTCCACCGTCTTTTTGTCCGGTTGGGCTTTCGTTTGCTTTGTGCTTGTTTGTGTGTTCATTCCTATGCAGGGTTTTTTTTTTTTTTTTTTTCGATTTTAGGGAGTCAAACCGCAACGGCAACGGCAATACGACAAGTACAATGGCTACGCGCGTACGTTATAATTCTTGGTACATTTCTATGCCATTTTCCACAAAACAACAGCGCGCGATCACCACACTCTGCGTTTCTACGACGGCCAAATTTTAAACTGAAAAAAACGGATGCGAGGAGACAGCTCCCATTTATATCCTAATGTTAGATTAGATGTTTAATACTAAACTCGATATTTTCTGTGGAAATCTGTCGACAACTTTTGAGAAATTTGGCTTCAGGTCATGCTACTCTCACAAATTGTTGTCTGTGATTTTTCATCTGCATGTGGTTTAGGTAAAAGGAAGAAAAGATACTTTATGCGCACGTCAAAGCTTGCACATGAGCAACCGTGTGGCTCACCAGGGCGGACTTACCTCCTGTTTTCGAAGCACGCAACGACTCGCGGTAAGGATACTCACCCCTTAAGGGATGGTAGTTCTTTACAAACTACGCGCGTGTTGGGCAGTGCTACATAAGCATATATGGATTGGCCGATATTTGAAATATAATATGACTGGTACACTTTGTGAGTATTATAAGGAATATTAAATGTAGAAATAGCATCACTTTGTGTAGATGGAAGAAATGCCGCGCTTTAAATCTCGGATGTGCGATTGCTACCAGCGAAAGAACCAATTAAATTCAACGATTTGTACTAAGCTGAGGCAAGTTTCTACTAAATAGACGAAGGTAAACAAAAATAGTGATTTCATTTTATAGTGATAGAATCTACCTCGTGACTCGTTTGCTGTACTGCGAAGAAGTTCCTCAAATTCAGGCACCAAGCTGGTGGCGTTGTAATGGACACCAAATGTCATCGTCCGAACGATGCCCACGACTAAGCCTCCATCTCTTAAGCCCTTTTCTAACGCATTCCATTGAGACCATGGTTGAGTGGTTTGAGCAAGAAGCCCAATACGAGTCCAGTTGAAATGTTTCATTAGAGCATGCAAAGGTGGGACGAGTCCGCTGATAGGTGGGATTGTGCGTGAAAAAGTCGGGTAAAGCGTTTTATCCGAAAGCCTCTCATCTGTGCACATCTGTGGACGTAAAATCAGCCAAAGCAATTAGGAATAGCGATCTTTTTAAATTCCTGTCTTGATTTGGAGGCACGTGTCTGTAACAGCACATACGCAAGACTGGGTTAGGGGTTGGGGGGGGGGGGGGCTGTTCAGTTTTGGCTAGTGCTGTGGCACTGCCATGGGATGGACTATCTGCCGATGGTTGTCTTCCAGGTTATTTGTTAAAAATACGAAGATTTTTTTCCCGCTGAAAATTTTTTTCCGCTAAAAGAATAAAGTTTTTGTTACTAAATTTTAATAGTTTATCTGTTGTCACTTCCTGTGAGTTAGTTTGATCAAGATTTTACAGAGCTAACCTGGATCAGAGGGAGTCTGCCTTTGGTGCCCTGTGTGTCACATGTCATAGTTATTAGGCAAATTACGCAGTTTGTTTTTTTCACGGATTGATTGTTGATTTCGGAAGAAGATATCGAGGAGGTGAGGGAGGGAGAACTTTGAGATTCTCTTAGTTCCCACTAGATCGGTATAGGTTTACTCTTGTTTCATCCTGTCATTACAGCACCCATGCTAGTTTACTTAATCATGGACAGTTATTTTTTTTTCTTCAAAAACAGATCTGCATGGGACTGTCCTTGAATTGGCAATACTTGAATATGCCTACCCTACTTCTGACGCACCCTATTCAAAGTTTTAAACTCAGTACAATTAAAGTAAACCCACTCGCGTGTTCTGTATTCCCTTCCCTGTAAACATCGCGTGCTCTTTGGCCCGTCTCCATCAAAAAACCACCACAAGGTTTCATTCATTCCAGTTGTCGTGACTGTTGAAGGGAAACCCATAATGAACTTAATCCCCAACACCGGCGTCACTGGCACGAGTTTTTCTATAGGCCGGAACTGCTACGCCCAAAATCCCCGCTTCTTGTTTCATTAAAACAAGTGTACAAGTACCGCCGACAAAAAAAACCTCTTCAGGTTTGCCCGTTAAGGCTTAACCTACCCGTTCCATCTTTTGTGGCGGAAGTTGAGGTGGGAGGAGATACTGTCTCTATGCAACGACACAGCGACAGAAACACGGCTGTAGAAATACATAAATCATCGACAGGGGTTAACCCGGAATCAACATCACGAATTGTCCGAGAGATAAATAAAACCGCTGGGGGCATGCAGCTTTAATCAACTGCAAAAATTCGCAGTATTGTTTTGATTGACTGTTTAATTCCATACAGTGTAAAGGGGAACGTGGGCGACTGAGATCAAAGAAACTATTACGTCGGAAGAAAAATACGAATTATCAAGAGTGTAGAACTTTCTTATCAAGAAAGAAAAAAAATGCGTTCCATGTATTCATCATTTTGTTTAATTTTCTCTACACCCACAAGTACAAAGCATTGTTTAAAAAGCCTTGTCACATTTAATTATTCACTATAACATTGCGTACGTGTTTCATGGAAAAATTGCTTTAAATGAGCTTTCCGCTCTTTTTCATTTTCGCCTTATACCTCTCTAAGGAGCCTGTTCACATATAACTAGGATGAATCGGCTTCAACGACAAGGACAGTTCCAAGGAAGGGTTCGCCAAAACAAGTACATCAAACTTTGCAGTTTGACGCTCGAGGATTAATTGCAATCTAATGTTTATTCGTCTTTTCTTTTCTACAGAGGTTATACAGCACCAAAAACCTTGTCTTATTCAATCTGTCATTTAGTCACGAACGTGGAAAGCTATTTCCTTTCCTCTTTTAATCGCTGCAGGTGTAATGAGAATTATGGCACTGTTAATATCAATAAATATTCCCTCTTAGATACGAATTTAGTTATTCCCCGCTTGAAGTAAATATACACGTCACTCAGCAGGTGATTAAAGGTTCATAAAACTGACGAAAAATGTTTTCCTTTCAATTTAACAATCATCAAAAATTCATGAATGCGAGGATGCTGTAATTTTTCTCTTCTCGAATAATAATTGTGAAAATTACCCAGCGCAATTTTATTGACGGATATTTTTTATGAGACCATAAGCGCATTAAACAAGTCAAAATCAGGCATATGGATGATAAATAATTCATAATTCGGTCTTTTATCGCCGAAAAGCTGTATCTTAGGGATTTATTTTAAAACAATTTGCAAGTGTTATTGAGAAATACATATTCAGGTAATGACCCGGGGAAACAACTCCCATATTTTCGGTTAATACGAAGCGGTATTTTTCGATAATGGGTCATAAACTCATTGTATTTGCATCAAAGTCCGTCTACACTGCGTCTAACCTGAATAAGTTTATTTCAAGAGTTTTCAACCAATAATAATAATAATAATAATAATAATAATAATAAAACCAGCTATAAACAACAAAAATGAAAAGTGAACTTTATAGTGCTTTAAGTATGGTTAGCTTTCTACTTCAAATCATTTCGGTCTGGCGTACTGAACGACGGAATTCGAAGATGGTGATCCAAGTTACGAAGAGAGCACGTTTTAAAATTTTATTTTCGGATGTAATTCTTGCTATCAGATCTTTAAAAGATCTATGGATAGCCTGATGATTCACGAAATGTGAGGGGAAAGCAATATCAATTTATACATTAAAAAACGTCAACATTGCTTCGATTTTCCCATCAAATAGTTTACAATGCAGTCTGCGCGTTCAAAGTTCACGTCAATTTCGTTTTACATCCTTCTCAGTAAATGATGATATATAATTTCTCTTTGCTATATTCAAATTTATTTGTTCAGACAACCTAAATCCTTCAAAATGATGCCGCTACTTAATAAACAGTTTAAATTCTGGTTGTTAAGAATTTAACACATCATGTAGAGAGCCGCACAGAAATGAAAGTTTTCGTCACAATTTGCAAGTCAATATTATAATAAGTCGCCACGAAATTGTTTCTTAACGTCAAGAAGGTACATAAATTAATATCCAAATTGAACTAAGATGCAGGTGGAATTTTTATCACGAGCGATCTAAGATCTAACACATTTTCTAACTTCAGTTTTATTAAAAAACAAAAAGAAGTAGCTATATATGAGGATGAGAAGTTTTTTATAGCAAACTAGAAACGGTATACTTTTAGCCAGTTTTCCCTTATCCTAAAAATTTAAACACAAAGGTGAAGTAACCATTGATAAGTCCAAAACTAGCGGGCACGAAATTACGGTAAAATCAAGATCTATCTGATGTAGATTATTTTTTCTAGCCAAAAAAGTTAGTCGTTATATTTGGGTTTTTGTCGTATTGTTTTCCTTTTTTAAGTGTTTCCTTTCTGTTTTTCAGCTTACTAGTCGAACTGAATCTCCTGAGTGATAACTTGTTCTCTGGCTAATAATTATTCTTTTCGCTGCGAAATTTTAGGTAAATTATTTTAATTTTTCTTTCACTGACAATTTAACGATCGTAGCCACGGAATTTGGAATTTTGATAACGGCATATTTTGAGGCCTTCCTTATGAGACTTATTTTCTGTCAATGGCACGAAAACGACAAAAGTCGACGAAATGTTGGCTCTGTACGTGCATGAACGGGGTGGCGAATTTTATTGTCTAAATCGTACAAGTCTGTTTTGTATGATAGTTGAATGTAATTTGATTGAACAGCGCGGGTGGGTATATACACCACTGAAGTATCTCGATCGAAACCGTCGAATTTACATTTGCATTATTTGACGTGATGAACCGGTGGTTTGGACCTTTCCCGTTTGATATAAGGATGTTTCACTGGCATCTTTCGAAGTCAGTTGAATTCTGTCAAAGTGTTGCTTTTATGGATTGAATATGAAATTATTTTGATATGCCACATTTAGGACCTTTAACAGATAAGCGTTAAACACAAACATCAAAAGAGGTTTTTAGAGGAAACCTCGCTTGCCATTGACGACCTAGTATTATCAGAAACTGTTTCGCAATACAAAGTCTGAGCAATAAAATTATGGGGCTAATGAAACTATTTCAAATCAGCTAAGAGTTGCTAATGTACGCTTTCCCAACGGTGACAAGATTTCGCCTAACATGTCCATGTCAACTTAAACATGGAATCGAAACGCACAAATAAGCATCGCAGAGCACACGAGGGCCGCAGGACAAAGATTACTTGTTTCGGTCTTTGTAATTGCTGCCCAAAAGGACTCGGTGTAACGTGTTAAGCTGCGGTTTTCCGCAGGATAATGTTTCGCTAAATTATTATCAAATCGGGGCGAATTTTTCGGTAAATAGGGAATGTAATGATGTTTTTTTGTACTAAATGTATGCATATTAGCCGGAATAAATCTACTGAGAAGACTATTTTATAAGCTTCGGAACTTCTTGAAGCTATTGTTATTGCAAGATCTCATGATATCCTTTGAGGATCTCGCATCTTAGTGAACGAAACTTCAGTAATCCTAGACGGAAACTAACCGATAAGACAAAGTTTGCATTTTGTTTCACGTTTTCGTCACGGCTCTTGTCGATTTCTGAGTTGAACTGTGTTTACACAAATCTACATGTTTTTTTATAGCAGCTTCTATGTAGCCTATTCACGTCCACTGTTTTGTTTATTATCGCATAACAAAAGCAGAGAAAGTTCTTTGAAAGCGGGCGAAAATTACAAGTTGAACGAGTGTTTGTGGTATATTGTCGAACCGCCCGAAGCTTGTACCCATTACAATGAATTTCTCGCCCGCACGCAGAGTACACAATTGAAGTGTGTTTGCCCGCATTCTCTGTGATCTAGCGGTCAAATGAAATTTCCAAAAGACTATTTTTTTTCATTAACTGCTTAAGACATGATCAACCGTGTGCGCGTGCAAGAATTTAAAGTACAAAAGTATTTATATCATTCACCGGTCAGAATGAGACTTTACCAATTTGATTTCTGTGGAATATCCGCAGCCCTTGCGATTTCGTAAGTGAACTGAGTTGGAACTCAGTTATATAACAATGTACCAAACAAACTCAGTTCGTCCGGTCAACTACAGCACTTCAGATCAGCGAGTAACCCCATCAAGGGCAAGTACTTTACCGCTCAATTTCACGCTGTAATTCTCATGAAAAGAATTTATTGAAGGAGCAATTGCAGCTTTCATAAAGGCAACGGTTGTTTGACAGCGGTGGTCGCAGTAAGACTTCAGCTACAACTGCATCGTTAACCCTTTTAGCTAGTAACTAAGTTTATTTTATTCTGTACTTACATATGAAACCATCGGGACGTTTGCGGCTGCCGCCAGCTTTGCTTGTGTCTCACAAGTACATCCAGGCCCAATAAAGACTTGCACCCCTTTCTCCAACTGATAAAGCATCGCTTTAACAGAAATTTCTTCGTCGCACTGTGTATCATTCCACACAAATGTTATTTGATGCGCAGGAAGCAACGATGAGTCATTGTTGACCGTTTCAACTGCCAAAGGCAACGCCGAGGCGTATTCATTCGCCGATAGTACAGAAGCGCCAGAAACATTAGCCGACACGTTGTAGGGTAATAAAAATCCCACAGTAATAGCACCGGCTTCTGATCGTGTAGTTAGTAAGGACAAAACAAACAAAGCTTGAAGCCATAACTTGTTGCAGTTGCTAGACTCCAAAAGTAGTGTTCTGGAGTTCATTTCTTTCACCCGCTCGGTTAGCGCCGTACTGTGCCTACTTGAACACGTCGAGCTTGGAAAGGCTCGTGACATCCATGGTGTGAGCTGAGTGATGACCGCGTCCTATAAACGAGACCGCAACAAAACTTCGTCAACTACACACCGTTTTAGTACCTTGATGAATAATTTATGCTTAATCTAATCCCTACAAATGCAATTCATTTGGTGAGTAAACGGTGTCCACGGAGACCAATAGGAAGATCTCTTTGGAAGTTTCGTTTAAGTGAAGTATTTAGCTTTCCTTTGATCTTTTCATTGTCTTATTCACCGTCCTTTGTGTTTGTAAAAGCAAAGGAGAGAAAAACGCATTCTCAATTTGACGTCGATTAAGAACGTTTTTTGAAGTTAAAAAGTAAACAGATGTTATATTAATTAAATAGATCGAATGTCAGTTGATGGAAAAAGGGGTAAAACGATGGCTAGTGGAAAGAACACGGGAATGGACTGGGAAATAGATTTTGCGGAAAGAGGCCGGAAAGTTGAATTCTAATATTAAAAGCAAAAGATTCACAGTCGCTCGGGGCAGAAAATCGTGGCATTTTCTTCACGTGATCAGGTATCTTCGCCGCGCGGTGCTCGGTTTGTAAAAAAGCAGGGCTCCAAACAGGAAAATATAGCGCTCTAGGGATCTCGTGAACTGGCTCGCAACTCCAAAGGAACCCACATGTTCGTTTTCAACTTGTTCAGTTCGATTTTTTTTTTCAGTGCTTAGCGAGCCTGACGGCAGGATTTTAAGGGGGCATTATTTCTAAACTTAGACGAGCCGGAGTGAGCAATAGTTTTTACCGACAGTCCATTCCAATCAAAATTTTACCATACGATTAACTGTAAATGTGACTCATAGGGTTGGAGTAGACATCTTTCGGCATCTCTCATGTAACAGGAGATGATCGACTGGAATGTTTTTTTTTTTAAAAAAAAAAAGGGGGGGGCTCTTAAAATACCATATACTGTATTGTATTATGATTGAGTACCTAAATAAATTACAAGTTTCTACTTCAAGTTATCATTTGCTGAAAGTGAAACAGTTTTCATCAGTTACCGACTTTTTTCTTGAAAATTATTCAAACCCATCTATAAGAGCACTGAAAATAGTTTATTTGAATAATCAAATAACACAGGCCGCAAGGTTTGACCTTTTGACCGAAGTAAAAACAGTAAATATTAATGTTTTACGAAAATAACTAAAGTTCACCAACCGGCAAGACATTGTGTCTGTTGTCATTTTTTTTAAAATATCCTACGTTTGCTTCCATGTTTATCTCTAACAAAAAAAACAAGAGATTCAATTGCAACTTTAGAATAAAATAATAGTGCTGGGACCTGATCGAACATAGCAGAATGTTCATCAAAGGACAGGCCTTTCGAAGATATTAAGATAAGCTGAAACAAAACGAAATTAAACATGTGAAGGAAAATCAGCAGTTTAAAAATGTCCGTTCTCCATCTGCTTAAGGACGTTCTACTCAGTAGATTTTCTTCAAACTTCTCCTGCGGACAGATAATGAATTACATGTTTCAGAAATGAAAACAAAAATTGTGGGTCACGGACTTCGTTTAAGAGATAAACCGTGTGTGAAACTACCCTGATTTTGAAAAATTGGCTCGCGTGAATCAGCATGGTCTCCAGGGTTTTTAGCGTTAAATGTCAAAGATGAGTCAACGAAAACAAACTATCCTAGTATCCTATTGTATAAGTGAATCCGTTGCGTGAATAATGTCCAAATAGTGGCAACGTTTTCACAAAACTTAACCCTTCAAGAGGCATTTGAAACCGCCGCACAGATAAACGAAGAGCTATTACTTATCGCGCGCTTGATGCATGACGTGGCGTGTGAATTTGCGTACTCAGTAAGGATGCACAGAAACAATTAGCGCGGACGTCCTGATTGTAGTAACGTTGTTTTCGTTTTTGTTTTTTTATTTGCGTTCGTCAAGAAATTAATATAAACAAAGATTGTCTACTGATTTTTCTTTCAAGTTTCTATCCAAGTACATGTATAATATTATCGAACTCAGAAATTCAGAAATAACACGAGTGATTCCTGAAATTTATCACCCACTCCGGTTATAATCAGACTTTCTTCATCAGGTCCCTAAGGCACCACAAATTAATTTTAAGACATGATGATTTAATGCTAACGTCTAAATAAGGGTGATATTAAATGATATGGAATAAGCCTATGCGACTTGAACGGATTTAAAGCAAATTTGAGGGATTTCCTGAGTTAAATGCGATCATGGGAGAGCCAAGTCTGACCAAGTCTGTGTTTTCTCGGGTCAGAATAGCACTCACCATCAGAGCTTATCCTTGTGTCTGTAGCGTGAAGCAACCTGGAGTATTGCTACCTCCCCTTGCTGAATTGGGCAGGAGTTCAGCGCAGGCAACAAACCCTCTCCCAGGAGGCTTCCTGAAAAAATATCCCGTGTCCATTTATTCTAGTTCTCCTGCGTGGAAAAAGCACTGCAAAAGGACTCCATCACGTTTACCTTAAGGACGTTCGCGCTAATTGTTTCTGTCCATCCTTACTGCGCAAAGAGATTCACACTCCACGTCATGCATCGAGCGCGTCATGCAAAATTCGCTTTAAATCCGTTCAAGTCGCATACTTATTCCAGATAATTTAATATCACCTTTACTTCGACGTTAGCATTAAATCTTCATTTCTTAAAATCAATTCGTGGTGCCTTGGGGACCTGATGAAAAAAATCTGATTATAACCGGAGTGCATGCCGGTGATAAATTTCACGAATCGCTCGTGTTATTTCTGAATTTCTGAGTTCGATAATATTATACATATGCTTGAAAGAAAAATCAGTTGACAATCTTTGTGTGTTTATATTCGTTTCTCAACGAACTCAAAAAAAAAGAACAACAAAAAAACAACTTCACTGTTATCAGGACGTCCGCGCTAATTGTTTCTGCGGGTCCTCACTGCGCACGCAAATTCACGCGCCACGTCAAGCATCGAGCGCGCGCGCTAAGTGATAAAATGAACCGATGATAGAGCAGATGGCCATTGCTATAGCTTTGCCTGGATTTAAGGATCTTGGACATTCGGTGACCCCTATTTTTCTTTTGATGGATCCTTTTCTCTGCCGATTTTCTACGTTTAGCGAAAAATGAAGAAAATCTATCGATTAGAAGTTTCAATTTTTTTGCAAAATGCACCATCGAATTCCGTTCTTTTTAGCTCTTCGTTTATCTGTGCGACGGTTTCAAATGCCTCTTGAAGGGTTAAGTTTTGTGA